CGAAACTGTCGTTTTTCACAAACTCAACAGAAACAACGCTTTCAAAGTCAGTGGCGGAAGCATCTCATACCCCATAAAATGACCATTAAGTCCTGCTAAACGCCTCTTTCCTTACAGAAACCTTGTCCTAGTAAGTTCTCTTTCCTCATATCAGGAGGGTCTGAATGAGGTTAACCGACTACTGCCAAGGGGCGAAAATATAAATGACTAACGACAAAAAGCATTTAAAAAAATAATAACGATTAGCGATAAGTAAATACTTACCGACAACCGACATGGTCTGACATTATCGTATTTGTATCCAGAATTTCTTGTCATTAAACTTACTTTATGGCCAGGTAGGAGTATGGGCTCATTTCCACATTCCTTATTTCCTTCATTACTCAAGCCTACGAAGCTCTAAGAAATAAGGTATGTGTAAATAATTAGCTTGCATTTTTAATTTAACTGAGATTTTAATTTTAACTGAGATTTTCCATCTACAAGCAAAGACAGAAAATCTGAAACGACATAGAGAGGAAATTCTAAATGACAACTGGCCACGAAGCTAGGTCATATCTAAAAGTGAGGCGATTAAAATGAGATTTCTACATTCGATTCGTGTTAAATTTCGGCCGATGAGTAGATTTGTGACCTTCAGTCTAGGTATAACGTTTCTCACAAACTCAGAAAATTCTCACTCGAATCAATTCAGACCCTCCTTCAAGAATTTGCTCTTAATTCGGTTTTGTCATTTTTCTCTGTCTTTTCTCTAAAACTATAAAGCCAATGTCACATATAGTGGCGGGTTTAAACAGGTAGCTTGAACTGTAACTTATCATCCTCAAGAACCATTTGTAGTATATTTAATTTGTTATCTTAAGCACATGCGTGTGTTACTGTGTTAATCCCATAGTCGAACACAGATCCTACACTTGGCCTCGGAAGGTCTGGGTACTGATGGTGTTATTTCCCATCAAAGCCTTGCCTTTAATTCTAAAATTGATCAACATGTAATTTTTCCTCAAAGTGTCACTTCATTATCCAGCAAAGAGTTATTAAAAATAGGCCAATGTACGATATTCGTGCGCCTACATCGTAGCATTTCTAAACGACGACAATTCTACGTAGAATCTTGCAAGGCTATTTTAGATCACTCTGAGCTTTAAGAAAAAAAACCTACACTTTGGGATCTTTCCGAAATTGCCATTCAAAATTCATTGCAAATGCTGAGATCTCTAAAGCAGACCGCGACTTTTTTAGTACGGTTCAAAAGCCCTTGTTTCAATTTTTCTCATAATCCAAATGACATTTTAAGTAATTACATTTTGATAATTGAATCTCAACTGCAAATATTTCAGCTTGAAAGCAACTCAACGGTGGAGCGTGCAGTCAGTAAATTATCTGCTGAGCGTTGTTTTTTTTTTTAATCTTAAGCACTTCACTTAGATTGTGAGAACATTTCGGAGTAACAAGGTATAAAGGTTGTAACAAACTTGAGAGTGTTTTCATGCCATAAAAGAAGTTTTATGAAATGTTCTGGTTGCCTTGTTGTGAATTTTCTCCCAAGCTCCGTACGTGCTGTAATAAAATCTTAGTCGGGGCAAGAGAGCATAATTTTTTATTTTGTATAGCAGCATCATAAAGTTTTGCTCATGATTCAACTTCATCAGCGATATCATATGAAGGTGTTTGTCAAGTTTATTATTTCGTTTTTCTCTAGAAAACTGATTTCGGCGAAAATGGTACCTTACAACATCCTTACCACACACCTAGCAACCTCTCAGGCTGTTAAGTGTGAGATATGGCTGCCTTTTGTACTCTCTTCTAGTGCTTAGGTTCGTAGCGCTATACCGCTCAATCCCACATCCTTCACTGACCATCATTTTGCTGGTGATAGCTATGAAGGAAAGCTGTCGGAGAATGAGGCGAATGGTCTGATTCACCGACTTGAAAACAACGAGAGAACTTAAGATTTTCGTACTGAAAAATGCTAAAAAAATGTTCGCTAATGCCACCTTTTCCAAGATTCAGAGCTGATTTTCCAATTGAGTGATTTTGTTTCCGGTGACTTTTAACCTCTGTTTACGTTGACTTCCGCCTCAAGCAATACGAGGCGTCTTCGACCGCACTGGCTGGCTACTTCTGGTTTGACACCTCCACATACCACGACAAATAGACAGCTGGCTAGAGCAGCTTCCCCAGATTTGCCAACAACTTCTGTAGTGCGCACGAGAGGGCCTGTGCCAAAATTTTTAAAATGTTATGGAAGAGTTCGAGCACCGTCATGTCAATAAGAGATATGTGACCATAGTTGAGAGAGAGTTCCCCGACTTTGGCGGCGATATTAGTAAGCAGCGAGGCGGGCACTCAGTCACGGAGGCAGTACTTTCGCAAAATGGAGGGAGCCACTTGATTATCTTTGCTACTCTGGGCAACGCCATGGTTGTGCTTATGGTCATCGCTATCGGCATCTTGCTGTACCGCACACGAGTGATGAAGCAAAAAGCTGAAAAGGAGCCGCCATTTGAGTCAGCCCAGAATCATTCCCAAGCCTAAGGAGCAAGAAGCTGATGTGGAAGGGTTGCAAAGTCGTGATTCAATTCCCACATTTGAAAATCCCTACGTTTAAAAAATCATTTAGGACTTAGAAGCCTGATAAATGCTTGAAAGAAAACAGCAATCCAATTTTCCTAGTGTCAAAAGGCTGAAATAATCGTAAGCAAGCAACTATTAGTTTTTTAAAAATTTTAATAGCGCCTAAATTATGTGCCCAGAAATTGCGAACCTAGTTTCAATTAAAATAAATGCTAAAGTAGCATGTTGGAGGGTTTCATTGGAGTGAGAGATATCTGCGACTTTTTTTAACAGTTGAAAATCCTCCAACTGAACGGTAGACGGCTAATAGATTTATTAGTTGAATTGACAGACTATGTGATGTTTTTGAGGTCTTAAATAGAAGGATGCAATTTTGCAAGTATTCATAACTTTACAAAACAGCCCCGAATGAAGCCGTGTTAGCGAGAAGAAACACTTTGAAGAACCTTAATCGAATATTACCACAACTAGAATCTCAGTGTGCCTTCACGCTAAGAAAATAAGGAGCTGTCGTTTCCTGACTAGCAGTTTTGATAAATCTGATCGAACCATTTCATTTTCACCGCGCTATTAAACGCGAAGGCACGCTATAAAAGGAGCCTTAGGTCCCACTGGACCATTTGTCAATCAACCGTCGTGTGATGTAGAACTCTTAGAGTCAAGTCAGCTTGAGCTACAGCTACTCCAAAGCAGTGAACAGCAGGCGCATTCCTCAAAATTGTTTTATGTCTTCGTCACAATAAAAGAATATTTTAGATTTGTATTTCCTTTCTCCAATGGAAACTGTCTTTATTTGTGGCGGTAAATTTGAGATCGAAGTAGGTGGTTCGCACGTTACCTCATGCCACCATGCTGGTGGAAGTAAACAATAGATATCTCATTAGCTCCTTTTGTTCGTCTACCAGCATTTAAATTTGACCCGCACACGTCAACGGTGAGTGACAAATGAGCCTAGGTCTTCCCAGGGAAGACTTCCTTATATAGCGCGCCTTCGTGTTTAANGCTTTCGATTGAAAACAAAGCCACTACACGTTTTGCGAAATACCTACTTTTTTCGTATCCAGAACACTAGTCATTTAAGGAATCTACTAGTCTTTTACTTTTGGCTCAAGCTGTCAAACGCTCATGGCAATATTTTGTTTGTTTTTATTAACTCGGATTTTGTAATATGTATTAAATGAGATTCTCCGGCCCTCGTTTATTCGCGTTATAATGAAAAATAAAACTTGAATTACAACAAACTTGAACTACACGACAGAAAATTACTAAAAACTGCCCGAAATTAGAACACTAAAATTTTACTCAAATATCATTTATTAGTAGTACGTAAGGCGAGGTTTAAATCAAGATGGTCAAATAAATATCTGCAAGCTCCACGGCTCTTCATTCTTCCGCTGTGACTTGTAGCTTCGAGCTCTCACGACGACTCCTGTGTCTAGTGTTTTCACTGAAAGGAAAGGTGCGAACGCGGATGTGTAACAACGTGGACACGCTACGAGTCATGGTTTCTAAAGCTTCATTTCATAACTTTTTTACTTCGTTGGAAGTTTTTGATTAACGAATCCGGGCATAAATAAAAGTTAAGAACAATACGATATCTGTAAAAATAGTATGAATGGCGTGAATCACCCAACTGTTCGAATGAAATATTTCCATCTTCATCCAGACTTGAGGCATCAACAACAACCTCAGAACAACTCGTCGATATCAAAGATGTAGCCTTCGTAGAAATTGCTGTAACCACGGGTTATTACTTTCTTTGGGACCTTTACATCTTTCTCGAGCCATTTCTCGACGAGTTGAATCAAAATAAGGAATATTCTAAAGAGATTTCGACCGCGTAACAGAAGCTACTCTCTCAGCCATAGTGAATTGTATAGAAATATGCCAAACACGCGAAACAGAATGCCCGTCCAGCCTCGATTTGGTACGGCACGGAATCCAAAACGGTGCTGCGTGATAAGGGTGTACTGGATCAATCAAAACTTTAAAACACCCTTTCAAGGGTGTTTTAAAGTTTTGAAAAATCCTATATTCTGGCAACAGTGATTCCAGTAATAAAATGATAAATGGAATCCTTGTCGAGCAGTTTTGGTTTGAGATAACTCTCTGTATTTTAGATTAGCAGAAGGGACGCTTATCTCTTTCTGCCACATATTTTGTAAAAAAAAAATAACAAACAATAATACCGTAAAAATGGATCTTGTCTGGTTCGACTCAGTCTCAGATAAAATTGAAATTTCATTTCATGACGCTGTTGGTATGATTACTGCGCTTTCACTTCAAATTTACTCGTACACTTTGTAAGAAGTCGGGTGAATTTGTGCAATAGGCCAGGACCGTGCTATGCGCTCGACGGAGTCTGAGTTACACTTTCACGCGTCAACCGATGACAAGGGAGATTGGGGCGAGAAGTCGTCCGTCGTCCCAAGATGGCGGTCGTGAGAGGCTTTGTTGTCTCAATCCTGGTGTTGCTGCCAGCTTGTTTTGGCAAGCCGTTTAACACAAGCAGAACCCTCGACCCTGAAAAAACAAATGAGCGAAAGAAGGAGAAAATGTTTCTAGAAGATCACTTAAAAGCCGTGAAACTCGAACGAGATGGCCATGTTAACAAGGATTACCACCACGAAGTTTTCCTCGGGAAAATGGTAGAGAATGGCACTTTGTTGTTCGACAACATGGATGGTTACAGGCGGCTTATCGATCTATTCCATCAGGTGGACAAGGACGGGGATCATTTGATCAGCAGGCCTGAAATGATCGCCTGGATTCACGGGAAAATCAAAGAGCACGTCCAAGAAGCTCGCGAAAACAATAGGCGAAAGTTTAAGGAGGCAGACACAAACGGCGACGGCTTTGTTGCATGGAATGAATTTCAAGAGAAGCTAAAAGAAACTAATGCCACTCGTAAGGTCGAGGTTGAAAAAGAATTAGGTGAGTTATAGCTGATGAAAGATTCCATCTTTAAAGATCATAGATATGAAATAAAGAAAAATTAATAATCGAAATTAATGCCATGCACGCTTTTATTTTCACATATAATCTACAGCTGTGCAGCTGTATGAACACAATTGCCGATACAATTTTCCTGTAGGCTTTTAAATGCATCACTGCTTAAAATGGTTTCCTGTCATAAAAAATACATCCCTACCCCTCTCTCTTCAATGTTGTTTTACTGTATTCTAATCACGATTAATTTTTTCCAAAAAAAAAAGGAAAAAAAAAAACTGCAAACAATGCAGATAGAGGGGAAAGAGGTCAAGTTTTATAGAAGAAAACAACAAAATATGATTAATATTTTATGAAGACAGATATTTCAAGTTGACTTCAGACCACAAAAATGTTACGCTAAATGACCCCTTGACCGCATCTAATTTCTCCTTACTCACACATTAAGGTCAGGTGATTAATGTAAATGATAAAAAACTACAGAAGCTTTGGATTGTTAAGCAAATTCTCCTTGCCAGCATCCTAAGACATTTATACTGAACAGTGTAGAGAATATGCATGCTGATCTTAGGGAGTATTAAGGGTTACACTAAAATTGTTTCCACCCTGACATGAGCAAAGGTATTTTCCTTACTGTTTGCTCTACACATTCCATATTACATTAACGCAATGGATTTGTTTGACAACTCTTAGGAGCTTCTTTCTTTGGAGATTATTTCATTCATCTACATGACCCTAATAGGGAATTCAACAGTGATATTGTGACTATAGACCATGTTCAAACATTGTTCATTTGTTAATTCTCTTCTGTGTTCAGTAGATGATGTTGGTGATAATCAGGACCCTATAGCTGAGTACCATGACAAGTTCAAAAGAGGGGACTTGAACATGGATGAAAAGCTGGATGAAACAGAGTTCCTTTACTTTGAACACCCTGAACACAATCCACAGAGTATAAAAGATTTGGTAGAGGACATGGTACAAAATTTTGACAAAAACCAAGATAAGGTATGTGTTAATTCGAACTTATTGGTAACATTGATGGAAGAGACTGTAGCCAGGTTGGATAATTTGGTTTTATCAACTGAGAAGATGATGTAAATTGGCCACTGTGAAGATTTTCTTAAGCTGATGTTTCCAGCATTAGGCCTTTATCATACCAGAGACAGATTTTATTACAAAGTACTTTAGTTCACAACTCAAGTACCTCACTTCTTTCTTTTTTTTTGTACTTTCCCTTTTTTTACAATTAGTCTCACTCGACTAGGGTATTAGGCCAGTGTCATTTACACAGGGATTCTGGCATTATGCACTGGTGCAGACCAGCATAATCAGCCATTGTCTGCATAATCCCACTTAATCTGTCAAATAAATAAATATATATGTTACCTATCTTGGTGTCTGGCTTGAGTATTGTATTTATCCTTTTTCTACAGTTGTACAAAATACCAAAGTATCGTTTTAATTTAACAAAACAACCACATAGATACGAAGCCATTTTGTTTTTATAAAAACTACAAGGCGTTAATAAAAATGTCGGATGAGGGTCTGGAACCGATATGAAGCTTGGCCCAGGTTCCAGCGTTTGGCGGTTTCCAAGATAGGGGACGTTTACAAGAATTGCTTTCTGTTTTGGCCATATTGTTGTTTTTATTGGAAGGAGTCATTTATCAATAATGTGTAATCCATTTTTTTTTATAAAAAGAAACATTAACTGAGTTTTCTAAGCGAAATTAGTTATATTTTAGGTTTTAAGCGATGATGTCACCGTGCATAATTTTGCACATAATGTTCTCACATAATCTTTCCTGAAAATCCTGCATCATTTTGATAATTTCGTGCATAATGCCAGAATCCCTGTTTACACACAATATCGCTGTGTTGACAGTTGATTTTCCACCTTAAGAATAAGACAAAGCAAATAATTGTATTAATTACCTGCTTGGTGCTAGTAAACAGTGGGTATTTGTTCCAAAATTAAAAAGCTTAAAACACCCACTCAAGTGGCAAGTCTTACCTTGCATGATATATATTTTATGTATATCAATTCGATGAAGAAAGATAAATGACCAAATAGATATAAAAATCAAATATGGTAGGGGTGAATCTCATTATTCAGGATCTTGTTAGAGAGAAAATTCTGATACTTGTGAATAGTTTATTGTGAAATGTGTGTACATTTGGCTGCTCAACAAATGGCCATGATTTAGCAGTAGTTGGTGGGAAGCTGGGCCAAAGATTTGGTCATAACTTTCAACTGTGTACTGCTAGAATCAACAATATCATGGGATTCTCTGGTTCTTATCTAAGTGTAAAAAAGTTAATCTTAGGTTTATCTGCCATGTTTGTCACAGAATAGTTGCATTTACTCAGAGTTTTTTTTGACAGGCATATGAAAGTGGACCTAGGGTCTAGCACCTTTGAATTTCTTGCTGATGTTTGTTTATGTGTCATGCTTTGTTCAGGTTTTGACTAAAGAGGAATTTGCTCAACTGCCGCCAGGAGAAGTGGATACGCAGCAAGATGCAGACCTTGATGAAGAGTATCGTAAGGAGTAAGCACAACACTACTTTTTGCATCACATTATGGTTGTTTAAACCTTCAGGCATCTTATTAAGACAAGTAGTGTTATAAGCTTGCATATGTCACCTCTGAACCAACAACAAAGGTCACAAGAATAAGGGAAATGGTCACCAACTAAAGAAGCTCTTGATCACTCAACAAATTCTCCTTTTCAAGACCTTAGGAAATGTACAGAGAATGGAGAATATGCATGCTGATCTTAGGGTGTAGAGGATTTCATTTTACACTTAATATATGGTCCCAAGGGAAAGCAAAACTAACTAGTTTCCCGAGGGACCATGCATTTTAAGTGCTTTATTATATCAGACATGGTTTGATGCTACTCTGGTTTAAAGATTTAATGACTGATTGTTGCAATGATCAGGTCATCCTTGATAAAGGCATTAGGCAGGAGTGTCAAAACGTTTGGTTGATGAATTGTAATTCCAGTTACATTCATGAAATCTTTAAACCAGAGTAGCATCAAACTATGTCTTATTGTCCACTTGGTTGCTGTGTGACTTAAATGTATCCTGCTGTTATATATTTAGACTTTCCCTTAAGCAATCACATGGCAGAAACATGCTGTGTGGTATTTGGCGAGCGGGTAACAACTGCGCAATTGTATTCCGGTTAGGATACATTTGAATTTGATTGTGGGCGTGCTACCAAGAATTAACCAATCACAGTGTTCGTTCTGTTGAGTGAAAGTATATATGAGATACAATGAAAAATATATGAAGTTCATATATTTTGTACTGCGGTATTAGATACATATGATGCACGATCCTCGCAGTAGATAGCGCTATTTAAGCAATAGCGAAAATCAGACCTGAAAAAAATCAGGCCTGTACGGGATTCGAACCACTGACCTCTGCGATACTAGTGCAGCGCTCTACCAATTGAGCTAACAAGCCAACTGGGAGCAGGCCGTTAAGTTGATTCGTAATAAACCCGTGAAAGTGATAAATAAGATACAATGAAATATATGAAGTTCATATATTTTGTACTGCGGTATTAGATACATATGATGCACGATCCTCGCAGTAGATAGCGCTATCTACTGCGAGGATCGTGCATCATACGTATCTAATACCGCAGTTCAAAATATATGAACTTCATATATTTCATTGTATCTCATTTATCACTTTCACGGGTTTATTACGAATCAACTTAACGGCCTGCTCCCAGTTGGCTTGTTAGCTCAATTGGTAGAGCGCTGCACTAGTATCGCAGAGGTCAGTGGTTCGAATCCCGTACAGGCCTGATTTTTTTCAGGTCTGATTTTCGCTATTGCTTAAATAGCGCTATCTACTGCGAGGATCGTGCATCATATGAAAGTATATATAACAACATAGTACAATATAATATACAACAATAATGGGAACGTATTTTTGCACGATCGTCGCAGTAAAGAGCACTATATTTAAGCAACAGTGAAAATCAGACCTGAAAAAAATCAGGCCTGTGCGGGATTCGAACCACTGACCTCTGCGATACTAGTGCAGCGCTCTGCCAATTGAGCTAACAAGCCAACTGGGAGCAGGTCTTCAAATTAGTCCGACCTAAACCCATAATATGATAAATCAAACACAACGAATATATGAAATTCATATCTCTGAACTGCGGACAAATTTGATGACCTGCTCCCAGTTGGCTTGTAAGCTCAATTGGTAGAGCGCTGCACTAGTATCGCAAAGGTCAGTGGTTCGAATCCCGTACAGGCCTGAAATTGTTCAGGTCTGATTTTCATTTTTGCTTAAATAGTGCTCTTTACTGCCAGGATCGTGCACAAATACGTCTGTATAACCGCAGTTCAGATATATGAATTTCATATAATCGTTGTGTTTGATAACAATAATATATGTACCAAGGGTGGAGCAAGACCAGTCGGACCCCGTTTTGCTTCATGTTTGGTAAATTTAGAAACGATCCAGTAATTAAATGCCATTAGGCTTGCAACAGTATGCTTTAGCTACAAGGTATCTCTCGCCTTTTTGTGTTCGTTTATAAATCTCATTTGTCCTTTCACTTCAGACGCGAAACTGAATTCACTGCAATGGATGAAGACGGGGACGGTGTAGTTACTGTCGATGAACTCACTAAATACCTTGATCCCACTCACAAACAGCGTGCCATCAATGAAGGGAATTATTTAGTGTCAATGGCGGACAGAGATCGCGACGATCAGCTGTCAGAGAAGGAAATGCTCATGAATTACCAGCTATTCACAGGGAGTACGATGGCTAATTATGCTGGCTATTTACACGACGAGTTCTGATAGGCTTCCTTTTGATTCTTTGCCTGTTTTGTAACGGGCCTAAGAAGCTAAACCACAGGGCGAGAAAAAACTCGCATCCTTAGATGGACGGAAAAAGAACAGACTTCAATTTTTTAAATTTTATAGATCTATTTACTATATATTGGGGAAAGAAATCATTTTATTAGAGATGAAGCAAATAAGTGGTTTTCTCATTGGAAATTTACACGATGACCTCGATTGAGTTTAACAACCTCAATTCTTTATGCGTTTGCTTTTATTTTCTCTTTTACTTTCTCTATTTATTTTTTTGTTCGTTTTGCATAACATTGTTATAAAGAGCTTAAAGGAATTTCCAAATTAGGACAAGAAAGCAATTGCAAAATAATTCAGGTAGTTGTTGTCAAATGACGTCATCGAGGAGGTGACCCATTCACCCTTATTCCCAGGTTTCTCGTCCTTTCTTGTAGAAGTAAGGAAGAGGACCCTGGGACGAGGTTGATTACGTATTAAGACTAGTTTTCGCTAACGTCGGAGTCGAAGACGGAGTCCTTATCAGAAACTCAGAGACGTTTGATCCGGTCAAAATCAAATTGACAGAATTAGAAGCAGAATAAATGTGGTTACGTCGCTTGTCATCTTGTTGGAGTCGTAAGCCATCAGATGGCCTGAGAACTAGCATTGTGATTGTTTAAATTTTTCTGGTTCTGCTTGCAAATTCAACAATCTAGTTTTCTTTGGATCGTAAGCATAGGAGTTAAAGCGAATACGGAAGTGAATGGAACCAGTCGATTCTTCCGACTTCGATTTCATCAAGGTCATGACTACGCTTAAGACTCCGATTTTGGTATGGGGTTCGGTATACGGGTTACAGGATCTGGGAAACGGGATTCAAGATGACGGAAGTAATCGTAAGTTCTATTCCAACGATTCCGCCGCGATTGAAAGCCAGTCTTCTGTTATCGTTTAGGAGCTGACCAATTACTGTTTTTGGACAAACTCTGAGGTGTGATATTTAACGCGGAACGCGTCATACACTTCCTGTGCAGCTTTCTAGCTGGCAAAGTGTTTTTCAAGTACCGTTTTTTTTTCTTTCTTTCTTTTTTTCGCCGCGATTGAAAGCCAGTCTTCTGTTATCGTTTAGGAGCTGACCAATTACTGTTTTTGGACAAATTCTGAGGTGTGATATTTAACGCGGAACGCGTCATACACTTCCTTTGCAGCTTTCTAGCTGGCAACGTGTTTTTCAAGTACCGTTTTTTTTTTTCTTTCTTTCTTTTTTTTTTTTTCAATTTTCAATGTTTTGTAACTTAACCCTTTACACCTTGTCATCAGTATGCAAGTTCTCCAAGCCGTTCCCCGAACATTTCCTCTGTTACTTACAAGAAGAATTTGTCCGACAATCAAGAACTTCTTGAGTTCGCAATCGTTTCCTTTATTCTCATTCCTGTTGTGGGAAATTAGATGCTCATCATATCTTAAAGGTTAAAATGGTTAACACAAGTTATGGGAAAGGTCGTTTAATTCTTGGGAAAGGTGTGGGGAGAGATGTCGTTGATCAGTTTCCCGTTGGGTGTTGAGCCTATGGTGTTTGGTGAAACAGGTAGACCCCTGGGTCACCATACCGTAGGAGGGGAAGATAAAGGTCTCTGTGCTTGGTTAAGGTAAAGGATCGAAAAACCCTGGGTGCAGTGAGACAACACATGACGCAATAATTCAATTTTAAGGAAGTTGAGATATAATATAAAGAGCTAATATACATTCAGAGATTTTTAAAGTCATTTGCCTTGAAGGTCAGCTTTTGATTTTTTTTTTCCAAAGCCTGATTATGAATGAGATGGGCAATAGGAAGGAAAAAGCTCAATGATTTGTTTGGTGTTTGATACTTGCCTCTTAACTTGAGGAAGTGGAATTTCGACTGAGTTAAAGATCTCACCAGTGAATAACTGGAAATTCGCTTCATCACCTGATAAAGCACCCACTTGGAAACTGAATAGTCCCTTTTACAGTTGTGGGCTTGGTGGCCAAGTCTTTAAACAGGAGTTAGGCTAAGGGTGAGACTGTTGTGATAGAGACCTGTATCTAGTTAGCATGATAACAAAGTAATTTGCATTTGAAAAGCAGCAACATCTCTATCATAACAAGGTCACCCTAAGCCTCACTCCTGTTCAAACGCTCGGCCACCAAGTCCACAACTGTAAAAAGGACTATTGACCAATGAGACGATTCGCACTATATTCATAATGTTATAAATTTCAATCAATCTTCCCCTTTCCCGCTCTCTCTAAGTGCCACCCTCCTTTTACCGGAGTGGAGATATGACTTGGCTAGCGAGGGAGAGACAAAGAGAGATAGGGATAGAGACGGAGAGAGACTCATTGAGTTATGGTGTCAGAGATGCAGGAGCACCAGCACTAATCATGTGAGCTAAAACTGGAAAAGATGGATTGCCATATCCCACGCAGGTTATTTAGATGGGTGGCATATGAATAAATGTCGATTACGTTTCTTGACGAAAAGGTGTTTGAGCGCTTGTCAGTTTCTGAGTCAGCTTGAACAGACTTCTTCGACTTAAAAGATCCTCTCTCAAATTTATTTTCTTCGTGTGTCATTTTCATCAATTTCAATGAAATTTTAATTTTCAATCACTTTTTTGGGACTTTATGTATCCTAAAACAAACAAACAATCAAAACAAAAAAAGAAAAGAGACGAAACAAAAAATTATATGAAAGAATTTTGATAAGTAGTATTTAGAAAAGCTTTTCAAGATAAAAATTAGTGATAATAATTTCGAACGACGCTTCGACCTCGCTGAGGTCATTTTCAAGCTGATGAAAAGGAAAAAGAAAATAAAAACGAGCTTTTCATCGCTACGTTTCCTTTGAATAGTAAAAACAAAACAATACATACTCAACGTAACGAAAAATATCAACAATCAATGGATGGCCATACCAGAAAGATCTCTAGGCTTCTTTACAAAGGCAACACCGATATCATCGAACACATCAAGAACATCTCGTCCCACGAGCTCTCCTTCCTTCAGAAACTGGCATTAAGTCGCGGTCTTGACTTCGCTCTTCCACAGCGAGTTTCATCTAAAGAGATCCAAGTAGCGTTTGAAAAAGGCTTTCTGGAAATTAGAACCGAAGTTGAGCGAAGTCAACAAAGAACTACAGAGCAGCTGCTACGTTAAGGTCTATTGCTTTGAACTACACCGAACGTAAGACCCCGGCTACACCACCAAGATCAATACTAAGAGCAATCGGCCAGTTGAAGAAGCGAACCGACATTGTTATGTTATCACGAAGACCGATAAAGGATGAGGAGGATGGGGAGTGGTGGTAATGGACAAATCTGATTAGGTTCGTCTCCTCAAGGAATCGTCAATCAACGATGACAGCAAGTTTAGACCTACGAGTACCGAAAGACCAAAAATGAGCGGCCGACCAGCAAAGCACTATCATCCGCTATTACAGAAAGAAAAAGAATTAGCCACCGCCATACAAAGAATAGTACCCAAAAAAATCGCCCAACAAGTCATTCAAAAAGGTTCAAGGCTTGCTCACCTATATGGCTTACCGAAAACCCATAAGTGCCGGTTAGCAATGCGCCCCATCTTCTCCGCAACGGGGACATATAATTTCAAGTTAGCAAAGTGGCTGGATGAAAAACTCAAACCACTATCAACCAACAGTCACACAATCAGGGATATTTCTGAGTTCGTGGATGCTCTCCATGATAAGGAAGTAGATGATCGTTGTGTCCTTGTTTCATAAGATGTAACTTCGCTCTTTACCAACGTTCCCGTCGACGAAACAATAGCTATCCTTGCTGAAAAAGCGTTTCAGGACGACTGGTTCAATAAAGAACATAATCTCAGTATCACAAAAGTAGAGCTGGTAGAGCTGTTGAATATTGCCACAAAGCACCAGTTATTCCAGCAGTTCGAGGGCAACTTGTACGAACAAATCGATGGCGTTGCCATGGGATCGCCACTTGGGCCCCTAATGGCCAATGCATTCATGTGCAGTATCGAAGATCGACTCGAGGAACAAGGCAAAATGCCTGAATTATACAAACATTACGTAGACAACACCCTAAGCATAATGGCAGACACCGAAACAGCTGAAAAGTTCCTAGCCACACTGAACGAAAGTCATCCTTTGGTCAGTACGTTTCACCATGGAACTGACCGTGAACGGCAAATTGTCTTTTCTGGGAACTGAAATCATGCAACGAAATTACCGTCTGGAAACGAAGGTGTACAAGAAGCCATCTGATACTGGTCTGTTATTGCATTATCAGAGTCACGTCGACGTAAGATTTAAACAATCATTGCTTAAAACAATGCTAAATCGTGCCTTTAAGTTGTCGTCTAACTGGCAATTTTTTCACCAAGAGCGCGAACGTCTCACCGAAACCTTCTCGCGACTCAAGTACCCAGCTCAACTACTGCATTCGACCATTAATGATTTCATCACGAAAAAAGTGTCTGGGTATACAGGGATCAATCAAACGTCTGACGAGAAAAAAACACCCGAGTGAATTATACTTCCTTTTAAGGACCAAACATCAGCAAATTCCGTACGAAGGCAACTTGGCGACCTAAGCCGAAAAATTGGAACTGACATTTCTCCTGTGTACACCAACAGAAAGATCGGATATGAGTTAAAACCAACGGAAAAGAAGCCCAACATCATCAATCAGCAGCGCGTTGTGTATTATTTAAAGTGTGGTCTGTGCGATGCAGACTATGTCGGCTACACATGCCGGCACCTCCACCAACGTGCTGAAGAACATAAAGCGTCTCAGTCTTCAATCGGGAACCACATTAAAGAGCGGCATGGGCATACCCCAAGTGACTTCCATCACAGTTTCAAAATCCTGAAGAAATGCAAAAGTAAACTGGACTGCCTAATTTACGAGATGCTTTTTATAAATGAAATTAAGCCAAGCTTGAACAAACAGTCAGACTCAATCCGCGCAAAGCTATTTTTATAATAATTTACGGTATCTTCGTATAATTAATAGTTTTACTTTCGTCAATTCTCATATTAATTTATTCGTATTGTCTCCTTTGCAATTTTATCACTTCTATTTTACGCCTAGCATTTACATATTTCCATATTTTATCACCTTTATCATTCCCACGTCTTGAATTTAGTACATATATGCAAAAATTTTCCTTTTCATCAGCTTGAAAATGACCTCAGCAAGGTCGAAACGTCGTGCAAAATTATTATCACTAATTTATGTGAACGAAGGTGGTTATTAGAACCTCTTGTTAGCAGATTTTGCGCGCGGTACCATAGAAGCCGTTGGAAAGTTTTAATTCCCTTGTTAGCCTATGCTGCGAGTAAGCTAGAATGTAACTTCTATTATCCCTTTACACCCTGACATCAATATGCATATTCTCCATACTTTTCTCTATGCTATTTTGAGGTGCTGACAAGAAGAATTTATTTAACAATCAAGAGCTTCTTCACTTCGTGTTCATTTTCTTTATTCCCGTGAGTTTAACACTCTTAGGGTTTAAGATTTGATTGATACATTCACAGACGAGTTTCTTGCACAGATGTGGAAGGCATGGTTTCACTTGGCACCCATCTCTGACAACGTAAGATTTTCACAAAGGCTTTGCGGTATCGTTCCAGTCGCCACGCGAACACGAAAGGGTTCATGCTTGAGTTCGCCATGACTAAGTTGTAATTAATATCTCTGGCCAAATGAATGAAGGCACAGTTGCAATTTGCACAGAAGCTGATTACGTAGACGAGAATTAAGGTTGGAAGGAAACAGCTAATGTAGAGAGCCAACATGATCAGAAACGTTTTCGTAATTCTTTTTTGCCATTCGATCGCACGTATCTTGGCCCTGTCGCTGTCGTTCTTTTCGCCCTCATGCAAAGCGCCACAGTTTTTTACTTGAGATTTAAAATGTCTAGAGACCTTAGCATTTGTGACACACAACACAATAAAGGTTGTTACCACAGCTGTATTCACAAAGACAAAGAAATATCTCAAGAAGCCGATCTGAAAGTAAAGAAATGGAAGACCGGAGGAGACAAGCCAAATGAAAAATGAAACCATGGCGGCTTGTTTCGTGTTCATCTCGGTTCTGTACTTTAATGGCTCCTTTATGGCAATGAATCTGTCTCTGGCCAATGCAGCCAAGCTCAGTAGCGATGCTGTGCATGAGAGAAAGTAAGCTATACGTCTAGCATGGTCTCGCTGCAGCGGTGTCGATGCGATTGGAAGACGGGTCATTGACTCACGGATATGGAATTCAACTGACATGGGAAGAGCATAAACTCCAACGATTAAATCTGCAGCAGCTAAATTTGCCACTAAGAAGTTAAATCGGGATCGTAGATTACGATTTGGATCGAAGATGACAGCGAGAATCACGAGGAGGTTGCCTGTTACGGCTGTTACGGTGAGGAAGGAGCAAGTAGTAGCGGTAGTTATGCTCAAAGTGAACGGGGCAGACACATTCGCACACGGGTATGCACCAATTAAAGCCATTTCATAGCTTAAACGAACCAAATTTCTTAAGGCAACAGCGCTCGAGATGTGGAGTACCGAGTTAAGGAGAACTAAGCTCTTAAACGTGGCTATATATATATATATACATATATATATAAAAGATTAAAAAAAATTTCCGTGACCCAATCAAGTTTAGTCAGTTGATGAATTAGAAGTTATTATTGAGAAGAGGCGGAATAATCGATTCGAAAACGAGGCGGCTGAGACAACCTCAAGTGAGCGGAGTCTAGAATGTCAGGTTTGTTTAAAGGAACAAATGATAAATTTCTCTTCAGAAAAAAAAATCAACTAAACTAAAAACAAAACAAAAAAAATGGAGAGCATTTCCTCTCTTATCCAAGTAGTTTGTGAGCAAAGCTTTTTTCTCTACAGTTTTTGCCTTACTGACTGAAAAGAGAATGAATTTGTTCTCGTGCTAGATAATTAAGTGAACCACCTGCGAAGAGTCACGAGGTTAAGAGCATTTAACAAGAAGCCGAACTAATAAGCTTTTATTTCAATCTCTTTTTTTTTTTGTAAACAAAGCTAATGGTTTTTTTTTGTTTCTATTAAGACATTTCTCAACTTTATGCGTGCAAGTTGTGCATATCAGACAATTCAATTTGAAATTAGTTTACAAGAAAAGAGCGTGGTAGGCATGGAGGCCATTTTTCGTGTCAGAAAAACACGACAAAGACATGAAAGGGTCAGCAGATTTCTCGACAGCTATGAAAAAAAGTCATGCGAATGGTTTAACACAAACAGGTGACATGTGCAAAATTCGAGTCCATATACTTGGATACTCAATCTATTTTGCGGTACCGAAATCTTTCGGGAGTCATATTTTGTGACTTGAAGACTTGTGTTGGGTTGAAACACATTGTTGAGGTTCCGAGTGACTGGAATATAGCAAGGCAACACAAACACAGAAACAGAAGGAGAAACGAACTTTTGAATTGTGCTTGGAGGAAAGTCAAGAAGGGCAGAAACACCCTTAAAAATTCGTAAATGAATTATTCGAGCGCGAAGGATATAGATTGCCATTACTCAAAATAATTTTTCTGCGTTGACTTTTAGCAACGTTAATTTGCCTGTCTTACTTAAAACTATTACAACTCTGCGCGTTTTACTTATAAAATTTATCGAATTTGCGATAGATGCGTTTTAAAATTATTATTATTCTTGCATGAGTGTCACTTTCCTTTATTGACGTGTTCAATTTACAAATTGATTGGCAAAAAAAAAAGGGTTACCGCTTTTTTTTAATGACAAATGACATGAACAAGTAAAAACAACTGTATATGTCTAAAATTCAACAAACTAATCAGGCTACAGTTTGACGACAATTACATAAAGCGGAAAAACAGCTGGCGTGGAAAGAGGTTTGATGATACCAAAAACAATAAAAGTGCCCCACGATTCTTCAGTATTTTTCGTAAAACTTAGATCAACTATTTTGATCATATGAATAAAGGCTGATAGTTTCAAAAGAAACTGTTTGGGGCTGCTTCGGTGGGAATAACGAAATAATTTGGATATATCATTGTAATCTTTATTTAGACACGATCAATTCATCAGCCCATAAAAACACATATCACATACGCTAAGATATTTAAAATTAAAACTACATACTATAACACTAAAGCTGTTTTCCGTGAATGGCGTGCGTTAGACTTTAAAAATGTCATTGATCTTACATTTAAATAACCCCAGAGACTCTGTGTTCCTTATATCGCGTGGTAAACTGTTCCATAATGTGGCGCCATTGTAGCTAAAGCTTTTTCTGTAATAATTAGTGCGCGGTAGTGGAACATTAAGCTTATTTTCAGAGTCCCTGAGGTCATAAGCAGAGTCACGCCACGTAAACTTTGAATATAGATACCTTGGAGCTAGCCCGTGCAGACATCTAAACATCATGGTGGCTTTATGGATTTCCTGCTGGCGTGCAAGATTTTTCCACCCTAAAAACTCGAGTAGCTCAGTTGCATCAGCATCATAGTTAGAGAATGTCAACACACGGGCTGCTCTATTCTGCAATTTCTGCAGTTTGTCTCGTAGCGTTTTCCCACAGCTACCCCAAACAATGTCACAGTAATCAAAGTGAGGTTTTACTAAAGCTTGGTAGATGAGATGTAAGGTTGATGCTGGGATCAGGTGCCTAATTCGCTTTAGGGCCCCGATACCAGAGGCGATCTTTTTCGTTAGTTTTTCGATGTGACTATGCCAATCGAGTTTATCGTCTATTATTACACCAAGCGATTTTGTAGCTG